AGGGGGGTGGCAGGGAGCCAAGGGGGTGGGTGCCGCTGCCACCAGCGTTTTAGGGCTGTGTTTTCCAGCTGCTTGTGCCTGGTTAATCCGGGTGTGAGGTTTTATTTCACTGCTTTGGCACAAGCACCAGCTGGGCACAAACCTGGTGGCAGCGAGTGACAGCTCTGGGTGTCCTCAGAGCCTTTCTTAGCGGCGCTGTCCCACTCCCTGAGACATAAACCAGGTCTGTGTTCCATGGTTTCTCTTCGGGGAAGGCAAAAACCCTGTGCCCCCGGCAAAGGAGGGTGTGAAAGGCTGTGGAAGGGGGGGATTTTTTGTGCTTTCAGCTGAGCAGCACAATCCCACTCCTTTTCAAAACCAATCTTTGGGGTAAAACGTAGCTGTGACTCCCCCAAAGGTGCTGTTGCTCCCATCCCAGCTGCTGTGGGACAGAGTTTTGCAGAGCATTTAAGCATTTCATCCCTGCCTCTGGGCTGGAACCTTCCCTCCTGCCCTGACTTTATCTTCCCCCCCCTCCCCACCAGGGAAACGTGGTGCTGTGGAAGCCCAGCGACACTGCCCTGCTCTCCAGCTACGCCGTCTACAAGATCCTGCTCGAAGCCGGGCTCCCTCCCAACGTGGTGCAGTTCGTGCCGGCGGATGGACCCGTCTTTGGAGACACCGTCAGGTGGCTCCATCCTGCTCCCCGAGACATAAACCAGGTCCGTGTCCCATGGTTTCTCTTCAGGGAAGGCAAAAACCCTGCGCCCCCAGTAAGGGAGGGTGTGAAAGGCTGTGGAAGGGGGGGATTTTTTTGTGCTTTCAGCTGAGCAGCACAATCCCACTCCTTTTCAAAACCAATATCTCTGGGGTGACTCCCCCAAAGGTGCCGTTGCTCCCATCCCAGGCGCTCCGGGACAGAGTTTTGCAGAGCATTTAAGCGTTTCATCCCTGCCTCCGGGCTGGAACCTTCCCTCCTGCCCTGACTTTATCTTTTCCACCCCTGCCAGGGAAACGTGGTGCTGTGGAAGCCCAGCGACACTGCCCTGCTCTCCAGCTACGCCGTCTACAAGATCCTGCTCGAAGCCGGGCTCCCTCCCAACGTGGTGCAGTTCGTGCCGGCGGATGGACCCGTCTTTGGAGACACCGTCACCAGCTCCGAGCACTTCTGTGGCCTCAACTTCACCGGCAGCGTCCCGTAGGTTGGGGAGGGGGGTGGTGTGGGGGGAGAGGGACAGAATCACAGAATGAAAAAAAAAAACCACAGACAGACACAACCCAACAATCTCAGGCACCGGAGCATGACCTAAAGTGCCATGTCTACATGTTTCTTAAATCCCTCCAGGGATGGTGACTCCACCACCTCCCTGGGCAGGCTGTTCCAGTCCCTGACCACCCTCTCAGGAAAGTCATTCTTCCCAATATCTCATCTAACCCTCCCCTGCCCCAACTTCAGACCATTTCCTCTGCTCCTGGACGAGCTGAGACAGTGCTGGTGCTCGTCTGCTGGTCCTTTGAACACGTAGGACAGCGTTGAGCAGGGTGGCAGGCAGACAACTGGCCACCTCCTGGGTGAGCTGAGACAATGCTGGTGCTCATCTCCTGGTCCTTTGAACACGTAGGACAGCATTGAGCAGGGTGGCAGGCAGACAACTGGCCATCCTTCCACGCTGTAATTAAGATAGGGTTTTTAAAACTGATTTTAAAAAGTTTCCAACCAGGTTTTCTTGCTACAGGGAGTGCATTGAATAGCAGGGTGTTTCTGTTACTAAGTCAAGTCACAGAGAATAGATGAAGTTAGGTGTGACACTGCCCTGTCACCCAGGGGTGCTGTGATTTGGCTTGACCACCCTGCTGCTCTGGCAGAGTGATGCCAGCTCCAGGTAGATTTGCAGACTCGTGCTCTGTCCCTGTGTCGGGGGGTGTCAGTGACACCCAGGGCCCCGCAGCCCGTAACGGGCTATTAAACCCCGGGACCCCGCTCCGGTGGCGAAGGACATGGTCTGATGAGCATCGGGCTTTAAAGGTGAGAAGCTCATAAATTAGTATTAGTGGCTGTGCCTCCTGGTGGGAGGTTATTAGCATTTTTATTGTTTTGCAGCCAAGGGGTTTGTCACAGTAAGGACCAAAAGGAGATTAACAGAAACTTCTGCTGGGTGCTGGCTCCTGTGTCTTCCCTGTGACACTGCAACAGTTTCTTGTTCTTAAAACCAGGGGGCTGTTGTGCCATTGCTTTGGTACCGGGGGGGGTCTCTTTCTCAGCTGGCATCTCCGCTTCTGCATCCCTTCTTTTGGGCATCCCTTCTTTTGGGGGGGTTTGCTGGGGTCCCCTTCAGCAGAGCATGTCACCCTCATGTGCTTTTTCCAAGTGCCACCCCTGTGTGAAGGCGAGAGCACACTGACCAGCTCCTCCTTTCTCTTCCAGGACTTTCAAGCACCTCTGGAAACAGGTATCCGAAAACCTGGATCGCTACCGCAATTTCCCACGGCTGGCTGGAGGTAACTGTTGCCTCTGACACCACCTTTTTTTGGGGGGGGGTGTAGGGAGGCCATACAGGGCTGGGAAGGGGGGATTCAGTTTCTCCCCTGCTTGGGGGGAAACTAAGTGATGGCCGGGATTCCTCTCCTTGTGGGCAAATGACACAGTAAAATGTGTCCTGTCCCCTGCCTGGGGGAAAACTAAAGTGATGGCTGGGATTCCTCTCCTTGTGAGCAAATGACACAGTAAAATGTGTCCTGTCCCCCCTCGGTGGCAGCAGCAAAAGGCTTGGATGTGCTGGGTGTTTGGAGGAACTTATGGCACCAGCACGGGGTGGGCTTTTGTGGCAGGGAACTGGCACTTGGGCAGGAGGCAGTGACACAGAGAGAGTGGTCGGGCATTGGAACAGGCTGCCCAGGGAGGGGGTTGAGTCCCCATCCCTGGCTGTGTTTAAGAACCGTTTAGATGCAGTGCTGAGGGACATGGTGTAGGGGAGGACTTTAGAGTAGGGTGGATGGTTGGACTCGATGATCCTGAGGGTCTCTTCCAGCCTGGATGATTCTGTGACACTCTGGGATCACAGAGATTCCGTGCAAAGTTGGGGAATGCGGGTCGGACCGTTTTCCATTGGTTTTGTCAGCCTGCTCCAGCTCTGGGGTTGTGCTCCCTGGGGTGGTGGCACTGTCCCTCTTCCCCGAGGAACCAGGCAGGGGCCAGTTGAGCCCCTTTGAAGGCACTTGTGCTTTTTGGAGGCCTGACAAACCCTTACTCACCCCTTTTCTTCCCTTCTCCTGCACCAGAGTGCGGCGGGAAGAACTTCCACCTGGTGCACAGCTCGGCCGACGTGGCCAGCGTGGTGAACGGGACCCTGCGCTCGGCCTTCGAGTACGGCGGCCAAAAATGCTCGGCTTGTTCCCGTCTCTACGCCCCGGACTCGCTGTGGCCCCAGATCAAAGAGAAACTGCTGGAGGAGCACGGGAAGATCAAAGTGGGAGACGTGAGCGGAGCTGCCGGGCTGCTGAAGGGCTTTGCGGCTCAGCGGGTGGTTGATGGGATTAGAGACTGCGGTAACTGGCTACTAATTCCTATTGAACCCAGCTTTTTATCCACTGGTTCTCCCCACCACCGCCGCCTCCTCCGTCCCCGGGCCCCCCCCCCCCAACCCCCCTCCATCTTTTTTTTTTTTTTTTTTCACTTGTAGCCAGGGTCTGCAGGAAGGATTGTGTAAGTGGCTGAACACTGCAGACTAATTGAAAAAGGGGTAGCTTGTGCCCTGGAACAGAGGGGTATTTGAAGAGGGGGGAAGCGTTATTTGGGGAATTTCAGCTCTTCCTGATTTCAGAGTTAGAGTTTTGGCACGGTGTGTACTTATTTTTGCCTCCTTTCTGCCTGCCCACAGCCCACGCAGGACTTCGGGACGTTCTTCTCTGCAGTGATCGATGACAAGGTGAGCTCTCTCCTCCTTCCACCACCACAAGAAGGTGACACCACCAGGCTGTCACTCAGTGTTAGGTTAAATGGTTTTATTACAGCAAAGGATGAGCAGCAGTGATTAGTTAGAGCTGATTATCAGCCCTCTTTTCCTCCCTCCTCTAGAATTGCATGCCTTAGTTACTGCCCCTCTTGAAAAGTGGGTTATTTTGCTGAGAAGTTCTCTCAGATGTCATGTTCAGTGTGTCCCACACTGTATTTCCAGCTCCCACCCCTCCCTCTGAGCAGCAGAGCCTTGAAAGGGATTGCCCAAACCTTCCTTTTACACCCTCAAACCCACACTCTTTTTTTTAATTATTATTATTTCTCTTTTTCTCAGTCTTTTGCCCGGATAAAGAAGTGGATCGAGCACGCCAAGAAGTCGTCCAACCTCACCATCCTGGCCGGAGGCGGCTGCGACGACAGCGTGGGCTACTTCGTCCAGCCCTGCATCGTGGAGAGCAAAGACCCACGGGATCCCATCATGAAAGAGGTGAGGGCAGCCCCCGGGGAGGTGGCAGGAATGGTGTGAAAGGGGCTGTAGCTCCCCATCCACATGTCTCTGCTGGGGACGTGGAGATGGGTTGTACAATAGGTTGGTGCAAGGATGTCCCTCTTCATCACTGTTTCAGCTGAAGCTAAAAGTGAAGCGCCCACCGCTTATTTTATTTTTTCTTTTGGAGCCTGTTCTCCCCTTGAATGCTTTTCTTATTATTTTTTGCCGTACAGGAGATTTTTGGCCCCATCCTCACGGTTTACGTCTACCCCGAGAAGCGGTACAAGGAGGTGCTGGAGCTCATCGACACCACGACGCCCTACGGCCTCACGGGGGCGCTCTTCGCCCAGGAGAAGTAGGAGCCCAAACCCAGCGCTGCCGGGAAGGATGCTCTTCCCCTGCCCCATCCCTCCCTGCC